CCCGCCGTCCCGGGGTGACAAGGAAACAGGTGGCTCCACCATAAGCAGCAGAGTTTTTTGCTGGTGCATCCTTTGGCAAAAGCCTTGGGCTGGGAGAATTAAGCTGTATAAAGTTCTAACCGTGAAACCAGATGCTGTTGCCATAGAGACAAGTGCAGTGCTGCCGTGGGAGGCACGGCAGGGCAGGGGTGGGGGGAGGAGGTGGGAGGGCAAGTGAGGCGACTGAAGGCTAGCACGCCCGGGACCTTCAACCTTTAGCAGCCCTGTGACGGGCAGGCTTGCACTCTGAAACTTGCGTGCTGGCGGCCCGCCACTTGCTGACTGGCTGAGTGGCAGCTGCTCGCGCCGTGGGGACTAGCTGGTGAGCACGTTGGCAGTTGGCGCGGGCCCCGGGGTGGGGACTCGGCGGGCTGGAATGTGGATGGGCGCTCCAGACCCAGTGGCTGACAGTTTTGCACACATGTTTCTCGTGCCAGGCTTAAGTCATCCTTGCAAGCCCGCTCGGCGATTAGGACCGGCTGCTGGAAGCCGGTCCGCTTGGCAGCAGATTTGACATGTGCTGCAGTTAAATCGTTTTGGTGTCCCAGAATAATGAAGCATGAGGAAACCTCGCTTTGGGTGTGGACTTCTGTAGAAGGACCCCAAGGGGATAGCTGTGACTGTCAGGGGCCCTGCTGCAGGAAGGCAGCTTTGGCCCCGAGTGGATTTTGTGCTCACTGTGTGTGACCCTTATCCCCGTGATGCTGGTGAGAAGCTTCCAGATCTATTCTGAACTTTGCCTCATGCTGGTGAGGTGAGCAACCCGGAGCTGTTTAGGGTCAGGCTCCTTCGCTCCTTTGTTTTCAGAGTCGCAGGGTGTGTGAAAGGAGCATTTTACGAGTGGATTTGGGGTCCTCATTAGGGATCAGATGAGTTCATTTCTTCCTGTTGATAGTCGGGGGAGCTAGTTGGCTCCGATGATCATTTAAACAGATATCTCTGTCTTACTAATAATAGCAAGCAACTGCTGCGAGGATTTGAGGTGGGGAGACGCAAACCCAGATAATTGACATTTGTGGTGTAAAGACAGAAAAAAGCCGCAAAACCCCGTAGTTTGTGCAGAAGCCTGAGGGTCCCAGGCTGGACTTGCTGTCTAGGGCGAGCAAGGGCGGCTCTGGGAGTCGGCTGCTGTGAGTGTGCAGGTTTTATATTTTTAGTTTGCCTCACTCTCCCTTTTTGCTTCCTCCGGTGAAGAGGCTGCTGTAAGATGCTCTGCATCGTCTGGCAGAAAGAACGAAGTTTCTGATTACTTGCTGTGGACAGTCTTGGAGGGAATGTGAAATTTGCACCAAAGAGCCAAGGAATGTCACAGTCCCTATTCTCACTCTAACTCAGATGGGACACAGTGGGTAACCCTGCTTTCTCAGCCTAAGAGGAGGGCTTTTCTTAACTTTTCCACCATGCCCTGCAGTCGCTGCTGTGTTTCTTCTTTTACTTCCCCTTTGGTGATTGCATAAAATTTTGGGAATGGCTCAGGCACAAAGGCTAAACATTTTGTCTAGGAAATGTTAAAAAAGACAGAGCAAGACTTCAGGGCCAACTTGATTCATGGTGAGGTGCAGAATTGCTGTTCTACATGGAATTGTATTGGGTTTTGGAGGCTGATAGGCTGGAAAGGGTTAGTTCTGAGAAGAAATGTGAGCTAAACTACTCTTTGCTTTCCAAAGGGGAGACAGTGTTATTAATGTATATGCTGTCGTACTGCGCTCCAGAATTTCGTTGTGCTTCTGAGGTCTTTTAAGAAAGCTTCCCCGTTAAACTGTCATCCTCAGCTGTGTCTACAGATGTTGAATAGCGGGTGGGTTCTGGCCTTCTGGGCTGACTCACCTCGATTGCTGGGGAGGCTTTGAGAAGGCAGCTGTGGTTGAACTTACTAGAGCCCTTGTCTGTCTCGCTCATCACTGTGTCTCCAGTGCCTTGGAGTTGCCTGGCACGTAGTAGGTGCTCAGTAAATATTTTCTGAATGAATGAATGAATAGAGGAGGGCAGGACAGAGAGAAGGGAACTGCTGAATGCCTTCCCTGTGTCTCCGGCTGCGTTTCCAGTGCTTTCGTCGTGATCAGCAATGACCTGCACGTTGCCAAATCCAACTGTGCTTCTCTGCCTCCGTCTTCCTTGGCCTCTCAGTAGCAGGGCTCTCTTCTTCTTGCGACTTCCTGGGCATCTCTCTCGCCTGGGTTTCCTCTTACCTCATCGACTGTTTTTGTCCCTCTGCTCTGCTTATAAATGTTGGTGTGCTTCAGCCCTCAGGTCTACTGCTTGATTTCTGCATCCTCTTCCTGAATGATCTCATCCAGTAATACCAGTAATTGCTTTGTTCATTGGTCCCCCAATTTTTATCTCCAGCCCGAGCTCCTGAGCTCCAGACTAACACGTCTACTTTTGTCCTTTTTTCACGTACAATAAACATCTCAGCCTTGAAGTGGCCAGTAGGACTCTGGATTCTTCTCAGCAGCCTGTTTCTGCCACAGCCTTCCCTGGGCTCCTTTGACAGAGGGAGGGGAATACATTCCTGGTTTCTCCTGTGCCCTGACCATCCATTTTTTTCATGTAGCAGCCAGGGCGACCCTTTACGAAGTAACAGCTCAAGTCACTCTCCATCTTAAAACTCTCAGTGGCTCCTGTGACACCTAAAATTCTGACTCCTTCCCATGGCCTCATGTCCCAGTTCCCTCCAGTAACCTCTCCTACGGGGTGGCCTTCTGTCTGTCTGTCCAGCCATACTGGCCTCATTTCGGTCCCCAGAACATGCTACACTCATTCCCACGTTAGGGCCTTTGCACTTGCTGTTCCCTTTGCTGGTTCCTTCTTGTCATTCTCGTCTCTGCTCAAATGTCTCCTTCCTAGAAGCCTCGTCCGAACCACCCTATGCTGAGTGGCTCCTGTCTCCTTTTGTTTTTGCAAGGCACTTACTGCTGTCTGAGATTACCCCGGTCATCTATTCATTATTAGTTTCTTGGGACCTTTGTCTGTCTTATTCTCAGATGTATTCCCTCCCTCTAGAAAGTCCCAGAATTGTAGCAGGCCCCGAATAAATATTTGCTGAATCAGTGACATCATTTGCTACATCATTTCATCTTTATGGGAACCTGTGGCTTAGGGAGGCTGGTAAATGACTTGACTTCTCAAGTCTTCAAGGCATTTTCTTTTCCACTCTAATCCTGATGGCTGACCCATATCCTGTTTGCATTTAGTTTTCTATTTTTAGTTTGCATATAGAGAAGGAAGAAGGTATATATCAGGATGAGCTATTACCTAAAGGTCCTTAGCCCTGAAAGAAGAAATCCTGGAGTGTCCAAAGGTAATGAGTTTCCCAGTGGCATTGTCCACCAGTGATTGGTCTGGGTGAAAAAGAAAGATGGAAAGCAGAAAGGAAGGAAATTTACGTTAATTAAACATGTAGTGTGTGCTAAGTCCTTCACTGAATGCTTTTAGGCATGTTACCTAATTTGAATCTTGAAACAATCGATACAAGGTTGATATTATTGTGTTGAATCAATGCTAGGTTGATATTATGACCCCCATTTTATAGATGGAAAAACTGAGGCTTAAAAAAGTTAAATACTTTGCTTTAAGTGACATAACTACTGAGTAAGTCTAACTAGATTTTTTTTTTAAACCCAGGGCTACCTGACACCAAATTCTTCACTTTTTATGCTAAGATGGTTACTTTGTGAGATGAATATGCTCCTAAAATAGTGAGGATAAAAATATGAATTCAGTGCCCGTCCACATAGATTGTAACAAATATCTGAAGCATAAGGATAAGTTATACGGACAATATGGAAAACAGACATACAATATTCAATGCCTGAGCATATAATTGGATGAATAAAATACAGAGTGAACATTTGGTTCTCTGGCAGGGCTCATGTACGGTATGACATAGAGCAGCTGTCCCCAAAGTTCTTTGTTTCTAGTACTCCACAAGCAGCATTTGAGCAATTCAGGATTTCTTTCTGCTTTCGCTATAAATAGAGTTCATGGAATTCTGTATATCAAAGTTAATGCGATGAAAAGGAGCTGCAGAGAATGGAAATAAGCCTTAACTCATTCTATCAACCAGAAGCATGCTTGGCACCGGGAAGCCATAAGAACGCTGTCATTCCTTGGATGCATTCTGAGGACTTATTTAGCATCTGAAATTGCAGAGTAGATCCTATTATGTAAGGAGACAGGAGGGCAGCACAGTGTGGTCACAAAACGAAGAACTTTGTGAGCCTCAGGGAAGAGTTAACGGGGCACATACACGTAGAGAAAAGCCATGCGAGAGGAATGTGGGAAATGGATGAATGGGCGGCGTGTATATGTGCCTATCGCGAAGCCGGCTTGCTAAATAATCCTCAGATGTCAGATTTCCGTAAGGCCAACATGTGACTCAAAGCTTGCCACTCGACAGAGGATCCCGGGCTGCGCTGGCATTAAGAGGCTGGCTGCAAGCGAGGCTGCCACTGTGCACCAGCCCAGCTCCCTGTCGTGCTCGGCGTGTGGGCGGGCGCATGTGTGTGTGCGAGGGTACACATTGGTGCAGTGGGTGTTTCGGGAGCTAAGCACTGAGGCTGGATTTCCACAAACGATCATCACGAGCCCTCCAGACACACCAAACTTCCTCTCTTGGTATTTTTTTTTTTTTGCTCTCATCGTGTTTTTGGTTTTTTCAAACCCCAAAGAGGAGCGAGAGCCCCCCAACATTGAGCCTCCAGGATTGGGATCGTTTGCTCTCACCTGTCTCTGTGGGTGCCCTGTCAAGGTTAGAGCTGAAGCTATGTGGCACCGGCACATTCTCAAGCACCAGAGGAGAGGAGCTGCGTGAGGGAGCAGCAGACACCAGAGCGAGAGTGACTGTGCCTGGTTACCATGAACAGCAGCTTGCAGGTTAACCTGCCCAGGAGCTGGGCTGCGACCAGTGGCTCACTCCGGGAGAAGTCTGAGCATTCTTTTTTTCTTTTTTATTACTATAGGATGGAGGATGAAGCTGTCCTGGACAGAGGGGCTTCCTTCCTTAAGCATGTGTGTGATGAAGAAGAAGTAGAAGGTGAGCTCTGTGGGTCTGGGAAAGTGTCTGTTCACATACATGTGTCTCTCATATGTAGATAACAGCATTCAGACATTGCATACGTCTTACATTTTTAAAGTTAAACACCAAACCTTTTCTATGGATTTTTCATTAGTCTCCACATTTTGCTTCAACACAGAAAGTCATTTTAAGAACTTCATTGGACCATCAGAATCTGAACGTGTGGTCTTGCCTTGATTTATTAAAAAAAAAAAAAGTCTTATTTTAAAGCAGGTACCTATGTTAGCTGTGCCTCTCCATTAAAAATAAATATTTCACCAGATATTGCTAACCACCTTCCAAGGACTATTTCAAGGAAGCTGCTAGATTTATATAAATGTATTTGGCAGCACCTTCTAATATACTTTCTTGCAGCTTGCATGGTGGAGAAACAGATCTTGCACAAGGAGAGTGATACCATTGTTTGTAGGGAAAATGGGCCCAAGCTGGGGATGTTAAGAGTGGTCATTATGGATGAGTCTAACAGGAAAAGATGGACAAGAATTTTTTTTTACTTATAAACCTCCAGGACTTCTTTTGCTAATGCTCCCTAGTGCCTGTTAAAAACCAAAGAAGAGTTATATTACCTGGTGCTATGATACTTTCAGTGTGCATTCCCTTCTCTTGTGTCCTGACATATCAATAATGTGGGAATAATGCTATTTATTTGATAGCAAGAAGGCAAGGCTTAATAAATATTTATTAAAATAATTATATGAAGGCATCACAGATATATGTCATCATTGATATTTATAAAATGATTAAGAAAAATAATCAGGGCTATAGGTAGTACTCAAAGTTAAATGAAGCTTGTAGGTGGATTGTGACCAATGCCATCCTTTAAAGTCACCTGAGGGGCAATTCATACGTATTCTGGAGAACTCTAGTTGGACTGGTGCCATTTGTAAGCATTTAGTGCCAATCAGAAACTTGGACTCGAGGATGGTGGTATTGGGAGAAAGAGAGTAGGTATTGTGTGTTCTGGAAAATTCTTCAAGCAGCCTGAACACCCAGTCCCGGGCAAGCGATGCTCCCGTGCCACCTGGAACAGATCGAATAGTGTGGCCATTATGTTGTTTCTCATATTGCTTTAGTAAGTTTCTTCTGCCCACGTGGTGTTAGTGGATTGGTGGCCCCACCCCCACCCCACCCCACACTTCCCTCATTTATGCTCCGGAGACTGACTAATAAGAATTCGATGCCTAAGTTTCTTAGGAAAACGGAAACTACAGTATTTTCTGTCATATTGTTTGACGGGTTCCTTGCATTTTTACAACCTGACTGTGGGAAAATATCAAGTTGGTCAAAGCAAAATAGTAAAGCTCTTGTCTTAAGATTCTTGGAACCCTTGATGTGAAATCTTCATTGTAGTGACTCTGTCCCAGTGTTGAAGAGAAGATAAAAGTATTAAAGTTAGAGCATAAGGACATAAGAAATGATATAGATTTGAGTGAGTATCCTGTAGTTGTAGGACAAGTAAGGTAGAAAAAAGCTTGGGAATGAGATGTCCTTTGAGAATAAGGGTTTAGCCTAGTTCACAAGAGATGTAAATCACTTCTTGAGTTTGTAAGCCCTGTAGGAGTGACAGCACTCCACTGCAATAGGATATTATACACGGTTTCTTAAGGCTTTGACTAAGAAGTGTATTTCCTGAAATATTTCCCTTGACTTCAAGCACAAAATTAAGACAGCAATATTGAATTCTATGAATAGCACACAAATCTGGAGCCATATTTCTTTAAGGAGAAACAAAAAGACAACCAAAGGTGGCAGTAATATCTACATCTGTAACATTTGAGAAATGTGTTGGCTTTGTGATGATTAAGCTTGCCATGTGGATTTTGTATATTTCCCCATTCTTATAAGAACTCTATTTTAATGACTGTCTTTCATATTATGGGTCCCTGAGGTGCTAATATTTCTTTCAAGGTATACTTAGCTGCCTCTTGCTGCATCTTGAGGCCCCGTGGGATGGTGGCTTGTAATGTCTTTATTTGGTGGGTGACTTCCAACAGTGCAGGCTCTCCTACAGAAGAAGTCTTGAAACTCCAGTTAGGAATTGTTCATTTCTAAATCAGCATCCTCCCAATTGACTCTCCCCTTTTCTCACCTGGCTTTCTCAGTGGGGGTGGGAGGACTTAAAATTTATAGTCTCTCTAGGTGACAGTATAAAAAAAAGTTGAAATGATCATGGGTGTGATGGCACATCCATAGTTCCAGGGGTCAAAAAGAAGAAACAGATGACTTGGTGGTCAAGACCTCTAAAAAGGATTCACATTTTGAGTGGGAATGTTTTTCTCAAGGACATGAACCCATTTCATATTTTTAATATGTAGACAAGGTATATTTTCGAAGGAAAGCAAACTATTATCTCTGTTCTGAAGTTTGGGTATGTTTATGGCAGAAGCAAATGCTCCAGTTTTGAGGATCAGGAATTCAAAGGGCAGGGAGCTGGAACATTTTACATTTCTATTATCAATTACATTTCCTTTTATCCAAATATGTTATCCAAGTAGTTGTTTCTCTTGTTTCTAGGATAAACACTGAGGTATATTGCAGCAGAGTTGGCAAAAGTAAGCTTAAAATAAAACTGTTTTTTCCAGTAATCCACGCAAATGAAGTATGCTCCTAATAAGCTAGTATTAAGGTGACTAAGGTTCACTAGCTCCCAGTATTTTGAAATGCTCGTGCTTTTAAAATTCTTCTTAGGGTCCCCTAATTTGGGGTGATTGGATTCAGCTTGGCCTGAAGGCAAGAAGATGCCCTCTCAGAGTTCCTTGTCATGCTGTGGTTCTGAAGGGACTTCAGTCCACACCCTCATCGTTCAGCTTTACCCCCAGTGGGTGGCATGACACTTAATCCACATTCTAAAAACTCAGTAGAAAACCATCAACTGCAAAACTCACTAAGAATAGAATGAGTCAGAAGAGGAGTCACCTTCTGTTTAAATAACAGATTTATCTGTGTGATATATATTTAAAGACCTAAACCTCTTTGTCACATAATTTTCCTCATAGGTTAATGGCTTAAAGAGATACTCTTCCAAAAGGAAACCAAATGCCAATTTTAATTTTTAAAATAAATAGAAGCTTCTATATCTGTCTTTTCATTGGTTACCTTATACAGTGTATGGTTTTGGAAGGTTAACATTTTGGGCAGGGGGTGGTCCCTGTGGATAAACGTATTTAAACATGTCGCCATTTCAGATATTCATGTTTGTTTCTTTATCAAAAGGCTTCAGCTCCTACCTAGGCAGCCCTTCCACAGAATCTGTCTGTAGATGACAAATTAACGTTACCAGGATGCTCCAGAAATATAGACCGTGAGGAACAACCACTTGGTTTTCATTTCAGATATAGATTGGGGGAGGGGGACTGCCAGGTTTTGTTGGGTGAACCCAGATCGAGATAGGAAGAAGGAGTCCCAGGTTGCTTTTTACAAGCATAAGGAAATCCAATGGATGTTTTATTCTTAAAAAAAAAAAAAATCAGCTGGGATTTCGCATCTGTGTGATATAAACAGATTACTTAATATTCTCGTTTCGCAATAGGGGAAAAGAGCAAACTCCACCTTATCCTTTGAGATAAGGCTTTGGCTCTGCAAGGCTAGGTAACTCCCAGCAGGCCCTGGCAACCCTGACTTCATGAGGAGGGGCCTCTTCTTAACATCAAGTCCAACGAGCAACTCAGGAAACATAAAGTACAGCAGGACAATATTGGCTAAAACGTGGCTCCATTTTTAAAGTTTGATTGGTGCTCTCCTATAGCTGTTATGATATAGTGTGGTGGTTTTACTCTTCCATTCAAAACCAAATCCAGTTGGAAGTATGCTTCCACTTGTCTGAATGGAGGAATAATTCTACAGTTCTCGTGGCTACTGATGGACATCAAAAGAGAGTTCTGTTGAAAATGCATGGAATTTACAGGAAGATTTTTTGGGGGGGAATAAAAGTAAAAAATTAGGATAGGGTGTGGGACACTAATGATTTCTTAGAAGAAAAAATGAATAAATGAATATACATGAAAACCATAAACTAATTAAAGCATATGTAGAATTATTATATATAATCCTCTTACATCTTAGTTTAAATTTTTAGTTAGAAATTTGGTTGTCTTTTAGTATTCTTAGTCAAATGAGATGATACAGTCTGTAATTACTGCATCCTTGTTTTTACTCCTGTTTGATTTTGCAAAGATCATTGATATTTATACGATTTATATTATATATACTGATAAGAAAAAGAAGCCCCTAAAACACTTCTGCCTTTTACATGATCTTTTGAAGAGAGAGACGAAAATGATGAAAAATGGTGGCTTTTGTCTTTTTGGAGGTCAAGACCACAACATTTTACAGACATGAAATCATAATGACTTAAACCTATTTTTTTTTTCTAGAGGATATTACGATAGTCTATTCATGTGTATTAGGGGAGGTGGTGTTCTAAAGAAAAAAATGGGGCCCGGTAGACATTTGTTAATAATTACAATGGAAAAAAATGTAATTGCCGAGAAGGCGTGAATGAAAACCTATCGGATGGGAAGGGAGGGGCTGGGGCTATTCTGAGCCTTGGATGCAAGTGTCTGGTTGCATTTTGCTGACCTCTTCTCCTCTGTTCATTCTAATTGCCCAGAAACAGAGTGTTCAGAGGAAACACTTAGGCAAATACTGCTGAAGGAAAAGCCTTCTTCAAAGAAACAATATACCCACACACTGGAAAGTGAGGTGTTTGAAGGCTGATACTTGACTAGCACCTTAGTTTCCGGAGCTGACAGAGCCTGTGCAGACCTTTCCCAAGTCTCTGCTTCTTTCTCCTCATGGCCTCAGCTGAATGCCAGCCAGAGGTTCTAAAGCATGCAGCACTCAGCTCTGTAGCTGCCGGACACCTCTGGCTAAATCAGGGAAGTTAAATCTTTATATGTAGATTTCCTTTGCTTCAAGGAAATCTGATGATAGTTCCATGGGTTTTTGAAACTGGAATC